AGGGTGGGTGGAGGCTTCCCGCGCTCCCCCGCCTCCACTCCGCCCCCATCCTGCTTGCAAAGCGCCATGCGCTGCTCGCAGGGTGGGGGCAGAGCGGAGAAGGCTTTAGGAGCTCCCCTGCCTCCAGTCCCTAATTGGCCTGGGTGTGGGAGAGCAGCCGGGACTCTGCAGGCCAGATCCACCTGCTTGGCGGGCTGAATCCAGCCCGTGGAGGCCCTTTTGCCCACCCCGATCTAGAATCAAGTGCACAGCACCATCTTGAGGCCCTAATATGCGTGGATGAATCAGCTTTGCTAGTTATTTATGTGGGTAAAACGTGTACAGTAAGATACCTTTTCCCCTCCCACAACTTCCCACAGAACACATTGTGTGCCCCTCGGTTTGAGAACTGTTGGCATAAGAAACAGAATGTGAAAATAAATGGAAACAAAATAGAACAGATAATTCTGAAATGTAAATATGATTACAAATGCCTGATTTAGGCCCTGATCCTGCAAACCTTTGAGGGCAATGGGATAATTCTTGTGCATAGAACTAAGCATGTACAGGTTCTGCCTCCCTCATCTGGCACCCTAGGGACTTGTCTGGTCCCGAACAAGGGAATTTGCTGGATGAGGGGAGGTCTATCCCAACATGATCCGTGCTGCCCCCAGCTAGGACTCCAGCTGAGCCCCTCTGCTGCCTGCTTTGCTGTGGCTTCCCAGACTAGAGCGCCGTGTCTGCTGGGGCTCTGTGCCTGCCGTGGCTTCTGGGCCTGCTTGGGCTCTGTGGCTGTTGGGACTCTGTGGCTGCTGCCAGCCTTCCCCTGCCCAGCAGCAGGGGCCAGAACTCCGTACTGTGCCCCCTCCCTCAACATGGTGCTCCTGGCTGAATCATGCTCCTGCTCCTGCCCTGCGGCCCGACCTCCTTATACCTGGACCCTGGTCCAGAAACATCTGTGGTCCTACTGGACCACCAAGTCCTGGTTAAGGGAGGTACAACCTGTATTATATTTTAACAGTTCTTTACTATCCCAATCTTGAAAAGTAAAGGAATGTTATTTTTAAATAACTTTCAGATGTCATTTCAAAAGAAAGGCCATCGTTTTGTGTTAATTATATTTAGGAAGTCTATTTTCCTGGTTCACTTACAGTGCTTTTACAATGTAGAATTACTGAGAAGAGCAAGGTGATTGCAATTTTCCTTTACATAACAGTGGAAGCATATTACATTTTTGGTTATACTGGTTGCCCCCCATTAGAAGTGATTTTAATGGGTGGGAGGGGAAGGATTGAGTCGTTTAAACAAGGAAACAATTATAATTCCAAAATGGTTAGCAGAACAGGCCAAGCCTTTGTTAGAGCATTCAGTGCTGATTAGCAGGGTTGTCTCATTGAATATAGACTTTTAAAAAGCGGAGGTGTTTACACTTATACGTGCACACTTGTGTTTGGCAGGGAGGTTTTGGGGTATAAGGTCTAGAGTGACTAATGTAATTGGTTTTGCTTTCAGTTTCTCTTGTCATATTTGTCCAGGAAATCAGTTCTGGAGGGATACCTTCCCCACTCTGACATCTGAAGGATTGCATCTGCTTGGTTGAATGTGAGTGTCTTTGGCGATGTTTGTGTATCTGCTTACAGTGGAGAATTGGATAGATGTTTTAACAAATAAAACACTTTCTGTTTATATTACTGTCCTGTGATTATAGAACACAATCCTTTTTTCGGTTTTGTTTTCCTTAACTTGATGTGTTGTAGAATTCCCAGAGGTCCTGTGCAGCAGCCGCTTGAGGATCGGATCTTCACTCCGACTGTCTCAGCTGTGTACAGCACTGTAAGTATGTAAGGGCAAATCTGTAAAATCCTAAATCTTCAGTTTTGTATCTTTTTTTTTTAATAAGACACATTTTCCTGGTTCCTGTAAGCAAGTAATAATTACTGTGCACTTTTAGTGATATCAAAAGTTAACTTAGGTACCCCTTAAAATTGCTGCTCTTCAGCACAGGACACAAAACACCATTTTCTTTGCACATAAATGGAGTGCAGTAAACTCAAAAAATATCCTTATAACACTATATAACAATTCAGTAAAGTTTGTTGGGCTAGTCCATTATTTCTGAGGCCTTGTCTTCAGTTCAGGGAAGATCAGTGCTTCTGAGATTGATCTTCTGGTGTTTGATTTAGTGGGTCTAGTAAAGTGAAAAGTAAGGGAAGCTGCTTCTGTTGGCCTCCTGCTGTGGAGGTTGCATGGAAACTTGAATTAAGGTACGTCAACTCCAACCACATTATTAATGTAGCCAGAGTTGTATATCTTAATTCGACCTTCCCCTTTAGTGTAGACCTGGCCTTAAACATTTGTAATTCTCCTTACAGAATTCACAGATGGACTCTGTGTGCTTCACTAAGTAACAGTGTTATTGGCCACATTCTCAGTCTGCCTACTCCCCTTCTCAAAGCATGGCTCAGCTGGGCTGCAGCAGGGCCAGAGCGCACGCCTCAGCTGGGCTGCAGCGGGAGGTGGGAAGCCTGTGGGGGAAGGCAGGGTAGCAGGCGGGGCCGGCAGCAAAGGGGCCAGAAATGACCTCCCCTAGTCTGGCAAAATCTCTCATCCAGGACCTGTCAGGACCCAAGGGTGCTGGACCAGGGAGGTCCAACCTGTATAACAATGTTTATTTTTGCATACATGATAAACATTTTCAAATAATGACTTCTGTTTTTCAAAGAGTAAGAGTCAGAAGCCCATTATTCCTTAAGAATTTCACTATACTGAAAGCTGGTCTTCAACTTGATTGAGACAAAAATTAAAAAGTGCCAAGAGAAATAAGTGCTTCGGTTTTCCAAGCATTTAATTATTTTCATTAATTATTATCATTACCAAAAATATTTTAAAACTCTTTTAAAAATATTTTGGAAGAAATGAAGAAAAGCCTGTAGATCTTATAAATTGATGTTTTGCATGATAGTATACATTTCAGAAATATCTTTTAGAACTGCAGCAGTAAAGGTGCTTCTGCTTATTTGGATGACTGGCAGATAAAGGGGTCTTCCCAAGATGCAGAATACAAAATAATTTGTTGCCTCCTCTGTCTGGGATTTATGAAAGAGCTGTCTGACACTTTCTCAGTGCTTCTTACCCCGGGTGACCCAAGGCAATTCAAAAAAGGGGGGAGGAAAGGGACAGAACCATCTAGGGAGACACTTGATGACCCTTCTGAAATGTAATGGCGACCCATATTTGGGTCCTGACCCATAGGTCGGGAAACCCTGATCTAGGCCATCTGTGATAGATGTTTGTCTAAACTGCTCCTAACAATCTCCAATGTTGGAGACTCCACAACCTCCCTAGGCAAGTTGATCCAGTGGTTGACCACCATGACAGGAAGTTTTTCCTAATGTCCAACCTAAACCTTCCTTGGTGCTCTTTATTGTCATTGCCTGTCCTATCATCAGAGGCTGAGGAGAATAATTTTTCTCTCACTTCCTTGTAACTACCTTTTAAGCAGTTGAAAGCTGTTATCATGTTATCTTCTTTCTTCCAGACTAAACAAGCCCAGTTCTTTCAGTCTTCCCTCATAGGTCATGTTTTCTAGACCTTTAATAATTTTTGTAGCTCTTCTCTGGATCTTCATCTTTCCTGAAATGTGGCACTCACAGCTGGATATAATACTCCAGTTAAGGCATAGTCATCATGGAGTAGAGTGGAAAAACTGCTTCTTACAATACTTTTGCTAAAATATAGCAAAATGACGTTTGCTTGTTTTGCAACAGTGTCACACCTACTCATGAAAAAGCGACGAGGAGTCCTTGGGCACCTTCGTCAGACGCAGATGGGTCTTTGCCCACAAAAGCTTATGCTCCAATGAATCTGTTAGTCTATAAAGTATCACAGGACTCCTAGTCGCTTTTGCAGATTCAGACTAACACGGCTACCCCTCCTGCTCTAAGCAGGACCAACCGCAACTAAATCATCCAGCCCAGAGCTTTGTAAAGATGAGATTTAAAAAACTTCTAGGGATAGAGTTCCCGACCCCTCCTTAGGAAACCCATTCCAGTGCTTCACCACCTTCCTAGTAATATAGCTTTTCAATCTAGACCTCCCCCACTGCAACTTGAGACCGTTGCTCCTCGTTCTATGATCTGCCACCACTGAGAACAGCCTCTCTCCATTATCTTTTTGGAACTGTTCATCAGGTGGTTAAAGGCTGCTGTCAAATCCCACTTACTCTTCTCCTCTGCAGACTAAATAAGTCCAAATCCCTCAGTCTCTCTTCATCATGTGCCCTAGCCCCCTATTAATTTTTGTTGCCCTCCGCAGGATTCTCTCTAACTTGTCCACATCCCTTCTGTAGCAGGGGGCCAAAAACTGGACTTAATACTGCAGATGTGGCCTCACCAGTGCTGAATAGAGGGGAATAATCACTTCCCTTGATCTGCTTGCAGTGCTCCTACTAATGCAGCCTGATATGTCGTTAGCCTTCTTGGAAACAAGGGCACACTGTTGACTTATATCCAGCTTCTCATCCAGTGTAGGTCCATCTCCATCATTGAAACTTAAAGCCTAGATAAAACAACCATTGGAATCCAGACACTGTTCTTGAATTGAAAAGTGACTTTATTGTTGAATAACACAAGACATTCCTTTTTCCTGGAATCAAGAGCTCTTTTTCTTCTGTCAGCCTCTGCTTTCTTGAGAGGAGAGAGAGAGAGAGATCAGGGCTAATATTCTCCCTTGTTTTTTAACTTGAAATTTATACTCTAGAGGCAGAAAACTTAAAATATTTCTGCAGCACTGATTTAGTTTGATCTCGAACACCAGGACTGATTTAAAATTATAAAAAGCTATTACAAAATATGGGAATACTGTGAGGATTCTAACATTCCCTTCTATTTGAGGTAATATCAGCAACTCTTATCTCCTACTCTTAAATGCAGCTCAACACTGACGTAAAACAGGAGGACCCCGGTTGTTTTTGCAAATACAAAATAACATGGAGACTTGCCACCTATGTAAAGCAGTAGCTGCTGGGACTGTACGTGTCATGACAATGAGCCTTTCCACCAAAGCGGTATTGGGATTAAGTCCCTTCAGATTTCTTCAGCCATGAGGTTGGAGCCAACTTCTTCCATGCGTTATCAATTGGCTTTTTGTCCCACGTGACTCTTTTCTAGTTTAATGGTTTTTGATTAGTGTGGTGTTATATGGTTACAATTTAGTGGTTTTAGTGTAGCACGAGTGTTTATTTATATAGTGTTGTTCTTTATCTTCTGGAAAACACTGAGGGTCTTTGGAATGTATGAATGCTGTCATGAGAAGGAGATTCCCTTCTATTTCCAGTGTTGGTAGCAATAACTGTCTCCCAAAGTTTCCTCATAGTGTTGGTCATTTGCCAGCAGACAGATAGCTGGGTAGTTCTGCTCTAATGCTCTAACAGCTCTTCTGCCAAGGAGTATGTTTGTAAACACACTCAAGAATTCCAAACCTTTTGTTGTGAATGAAAATTTGCCTCTTGCATTAGGGGAATACTTTTTTCCTTGTGAAATGGAATGGAAGTACCTAAAAAAGTGTACAGTCCTTGGAGACTTTTGCCTCAGTGGTATCCAAAGTGTCAATTGGGGTGCTGATGACGCGATGCTGTTTCAGTTCCTTCCTATCACCCATGGGGGTTGTTCAGACCTTCTTGTCTTAGATTGCAAAAGCATTAGTGGTTCATACAGTCCATTGGTCTGTCTCCTTTGTATTTAGTTGTTTGATACTTAGGCAAAAGCCATGCTAGCATCTTCATTTGAAATCCACATTTTGCTTGGAAACTCAGCAGCTTCAGGGCAGAAATAAAACCACCCCATCAGTCTTTTTGAGCCGATGCATGCCAGAGAAGGCTCTTGAATGCTTTTTACTGGTCTAATTGCCCTCCAGAGTGGTCCCACAATGCAGAGTGGGAGTGGCTACTCCTTGAAACTCAGCAGTGATGCCTGCAGATGTGTGTTGGTCCCTGTTAGCCCATTCTGATAGGCAGTGCTGTCACTACTCCAGGACACACAACAAATTACTCTTGTGGACAACTCCTTCTGCCTCCCACAATGTAAACAGAGACACGCAGATGCTTTGCAGAGTCAGGGAAAGATGCGGGAGCTGAGGTTGGAGCCCCAATCCTCCCCCTCCTCAGCACTGGTTGCTTCCCGCAGCTGCTGCACACAAATATCCACTCCTGTCATGATGATGATTTGCTGTGTCCTAGAGCAGTGCATCGTGGGATAGCTACCACAGTGCGCTCCTTTCATTGGTGATGCATGTGCTGCATGTGCAGACATGTGCTGATACCTGTGGCAAGGAGTGTGAACACGAAGCAGCACTTCTCTATCACCAGCAAAACTGTCAGTGGAAAAACTCTGCCACCGTAGATGTAGCCTTATTTAGACCGTTAAGGGTTAGAATAGTTGTTTAAGAGTTAGAGTTCTGGCTGGGAGTTCTCCACTGAGTGAGCTCAGCAGTCACACCAGTCTCACAGACCGGTGGCAATTTGCCTTTTATAGATGAGGGGCTGAAGTCCTCCTCCTGTTTGGACCACTGACTTCCCAGCAAGAAAGGCAGAGCTGTTGGTGCCTGAGTCTGCCAACTAACTGTTGTCAGCAGCCAGTAAGAAGAGGTCACGGATCAGTGCCTGCCTAAAAAATGGTACCAGAGAGCGGAGCCCTGTGTCATGACTGGAAATGATCCTGCCCTGAGGGTGGGGTAAGGGCATGGAGGTTCGATGCCTGAGAGACTGCTTAGGCAAAATGATGACATGACCATGGCGATCTCTGGTGGGAAACCTGGTGGTGATGTGGGTATGGGGC